GACCCCCCGCCAGGGCGGGAGAACAACAAAAAAAATGCTAAAAACAAAAACGGGACTCAAATGAGTCCAGCCAGGTAAGTATCCAGCCTCTTCTTAAAGATCCCCAGGGTAGGGGCCAGCACCACCTCCCTTGGAAGTTGGTTCCAGCTCCTAGCCGCCCTAACTGTGAAGTAGTTTTTTCAGATGTCCAATCTGTACCTCCTCTCCATCAACTTGTGCCCATTACTCCTTGTTATGCCAGCGGGGGCTAGGGGAAACAGCGTCTCTGTTGTACTTGCTTGCAGACACAGCCCACCCCAGGGTCAGCTGCATTGCAGCCCTGTCTCCCCTGCCCGCCCCAGAGATGGCCACGTCTCTCTTCTACTCAGTTGCTGACACCCCCACCCCAGAGGTGGCTGCCGCTCTGGGGCGGGCCATAGGGAAGGCTTAGCCTAACAGAGCTGGCCACGTTTGGTATGCTCGGCGGATGACAAACCCCTGCTTCAGAGACAGCTGCATTTCAGCCTCTTTATTCCCAGCCCAGGGCCAGTTGCATGTTATGCTCAGCTGCTGTGTCTTGGGTGTCCATACTAACCCCCCCATCCCCCCCAGCTGCTGAAGAAGATGAGCTCCAGTGACACCCCCCTGGGCACCGTGGCCCTGCTGCAGGAGAAGCAGAAGGCCCAGAAGACACCCTACATCGTCCTGAGCGGGAGCGGGAAGAGCATGAATGCGTGAGTGCCCCCCAGAGTTGGCTGCAGCCTGTTCTTCCCTACCCCTAGTCAGCTGCAGTCTGTTATACTGAGCTGCTGCTGCACCCCAGAGGCAGCTGCCTCTCAGTTATACCCACATCTAGATGCCACCCCAGAAGCAGCTGCTATAACACCCACTGCCCCAGAGCTGGCTGCATCTGTTATACTTCAGTTGGCTGATTATTCCCCCAGGTTTTGCTCTGACCCCTCACCCCCTTTTCTCTCTCTTTCCTCCCAGAAACACCATCACCAAGTGAGCCAGACATCACTGGGTCCCTCGTGCCACAGGTCTGTGCCATGGTGGGGACCCCTGTGCCTGGCGCTGTACATAGTTGAGATGTTGATATTCCCCCCTCGATCTTCTCTTTTGTATTATGTGAAGCCCTGTGTTTACCTCAATAAACCCGTAAATTCCAGCTCTTGGTTTATTGTCCCTGGTGTGTTTTAAAAGGGGCAAAAAATAGCCTGGGGGGGGTGATGGCAGAGAAGCTGGGATGGGGGATAGGTGAGGTATGTCCCACCCCAGAGCCAGCTGTGGCAGGATCCCAGGCATTTGGGGAGGGGACACAGAGCTTACGGCCACTGAGGGGGGCAGTTGCCAGTGTCTTTATTGAGGTGGCCATTATGCTCGGCCGCTGATGAGCCCCAACCCCAGAACCAGCTGCATCGATTTTAAGGCCCCAGTGGTGGTCCCATTGCTGTTCTACTTAGCTGCTAGCACCCCATCCCCAAGGTTACTGTGTGGGTGTTACACCCAGCCCAGAGGCAGCAGCAGCTTATTACACTTGGCTGCTAACACCCACCCTAGAGGTGGCCATATCTGTGTGATATGCCCCACCCCAGAAGCAGCCACATCTTTTGTGCTGGGGCAGGGAGGCTCCCACCTGCCAGCAGAGTCCATAGCAGCCCCAGTGCTGGGGAGGGGCTCACTGCTCCTCTTCCTCGCTCTCATCCTCGTCCTCATCCTCGCTGTCAGTGCCTGCGTCACGGAGCCGATTGGGGTTCACAAACAAGTCGCTGTCGCTGTCCTCATCCTCCTGGGCGGCTGGCGGCTCCCCCACCCTGCCAGAGATGGGGTGAGAACCCAGGCACCCGGAGCACCCTGCCCAATATCACCCCACAGCCTAGTATTGCCTTAGGGGCTGGATACGGCACAACCCCAGCTACCTCTGGGATGAGGTGCCCAGCAGCTGGGTATGTCATGGGCTGGAATGCGGGTGGCTCTGGGGTGGGACATGGTAGCAGCTGAGTAGAACAGATAGAGCCAGCTCTGGGGGGCACCTAGGCCAGGTACAATGGGTCCCACTCACCTGCTCTGGGGGCTGGGCCGCCTGTTGGGGGCATCTGAGAAGGCTTCAGGCCTGCAAGGAGGGGTAGTAAGACATGGGGTAGGGGGCAAGAGAGGGCTGGGATGTAGCCCCTCCCCTTGACTGGGAACCAGTGGTCCAAGTAGAAGCCATCCCAGTGACAAGGGTAGAAATTGGTGGGGTACAGACCCTCCCCCTACCAGCCATTGCTCCATTCCCAGCTGGTATTAACCCCTTATACTCCCACACAACCCTGATTTACTCCTTATAGCCCAGAATGGGGGGAGGGCAGACACCAGTGGGGCAAGTCCAGGCCATAGCACCCCCCCAGGACTTAACTCCCTGTGCCCTGGATCCTCCCCCCCAACCCCCAAGAGCTGAGCCCCATTGAACCCAATAAGGCAAGGGGAGAGAACCTGTATGTGCCTGCAGCTCCATGCCTCAGTTACCCCACTCAGAAGCTAAGACTTAAGAGCCCCTCCTTCAGTGGAGGGAAGGTTGGGGGATAGCTTTGGCTGGCTGGGGGGGGTGGTGTTAGGGCTGTGTCTGCTCCCACATGCCTCAGTTTCCCTACTCCAAAGCTAAGGCTGAAGCGAAAGTGGGAGTTGCGATTGCACAGCCAGGAAGGGGTCTGGGTGGGGAGTGGTCCCAGGGCTCCTGCCTGAGCCTCTGTGCCTCAGTTTCCCCACTCAGAATCAGAAGCTAAGAGTGTGGTGTTCCCCCGTCTCAGTGGGGGGGG